AGGCCGGCCACGGAAAGGAGAAGGTGGCTTGGTCACTGAGCCAAAATCCTTGAAAATATGCTGCCAGCGTCGGAAGGATTTGCTGGATATGCCTAGAGATTCACAGATATCTTCTATTTCCCATCCGATCTCCCAGAGCTGAAGAGCAATTTCTTTGACATCGGAGCTGATTTTTCTGTTCACCATGGATGTGTGCTGATAGCCAAAGGGCTGAACGAGTTGTAGAATCAACCAAATAGCAGTGGACGCGCAAAAAACGTATGATTTCCTATTTAGGAAATCGTATGTAATACTTCCCCTGAAGACATTATTTTCGGGATCCGCTGTAATAGGTCTAATAGGGTCCGAGACAATTTGAGAACAGCTGTTTTCAGAAATCATTTCAGAATTTTTGCAGTAGCCTGTGACTCATAAGTGATGTCAATGAGCTGCACCGCAATAATTGACACTAAATGAGAGATCTGAAAGATTCCCAAACTGGCAGCATAGAGATGGCCCTGAACCCTTCTAGACCTCTGACCAATTTCTCTTCATTATAGATGATCAATGCAGTCAAGGTTTTGAGTGAAAGTCACTATATTATTCTGAGCTGGTGAGTCACAGACAGACTCAAGGGAATATGCATCAGGATGAGCTCCTGTCACGGTGAAGCATCGGCCCTGAACCTTTCCGGTCAGGCCCGCAACCTGTCGGGTTTACCGGACCAACCTTTCGCCCTCAGAGTAGGAACTTCAAAGTCACAAGTTCTTGATGACACATGTCATATGTCTGAGGTAGGTTGTTGGAATTTCTGATGAAAAATACTGTCATATTCCGGTCATTACTCATAGCTGGGTGCCTAGGATGCTGTTTCAGATGACTGAAGAATGATAACAAATCAGAGGGGAGATACAGCTCACAGTCAGTATTGAGTCAGCATGTCTTTCACATGTCCTACACCATAAATTGAACTTGGTGGCTCTGAGTACCGCAGCTGCAATTAACTTAAAGAATTCAACTACATAGAGCTGAACAGCTCTCATTAGCCACTGTCCATTATTTCAACGTTGTCCCATTCAAGGTGATAAGATACTGAGAAATATGGCATATCTTATCGGCATGCCAACAACTGGCCGATGGGTCGGATATTGAATGCCTTAGGCCTGGGTCATCAAAACGATCCTGTCCAGTTGCTGTTGCCATAGTGGTTTGAATTCCCCAGTCAAGTCTGGTGCCCCGGCGTCCCAGCTTGGTGACTGAGCCGTGTACTTCTACTGGCCTACCTACCTACCTCTCACGAGAACTCGGATATTTCCTTCTCATCAGACTCTGAATCATTCAGACTCAGGTCAAACGTTGTTTGTCCCAATCAAATGATTCTTCATATTCAACTGATGGCATTTCATAGGTCAGCACTGCGCCTCAATATCTCTTGTATTATCTTGCTGAAACTATTTTCACTGAAGGTCGTTGGCTGATGCAACTTTGTTCTCTGGCCTAGTTCTTGACACTAAAACCTCAGAACAGGGTTTTATCTTGTCTGAAGATGCACTTGATGATGACAGTTAGAGATGCTGAAATACTGGAAACAAGACTAGACATACCAGAACACAATAATCACTGTAACTGTGCATGCCAAGGCTGTAGGGAAACCAGGGCAGCATGTCCCCCCCCCTGCAGGAATCCACATGAGTGCCATGAAAGAGCTCAGAATCTCCTAAACTCTCTACCAGACAAATGGAATCCACTAGAACCCCAACCAGAGGACTATGAGGATGAGCAAGTAGACAAACAAAATGGCGATGAAATAACCTTTGATATGAAGGTCATGGTTGATGGAACAATCTCTGATATATTCTGAATCTTCCCAGGTGTAGATCCAGCAGGAACCAACCAAGTGCTGGACACCCAACCATCAACCAGAGGCCAATGAGGAACCGAATATAGTCTATACAGATGGCTCTGCAATGAACAATGGTAAACTGAACACACGAGCTGGGGCTGGCATCTTCGTCAGAGAGAATGACATCAGAAACTGCAGCCTCCAAGTCCCAGATGAACTCGGCCCATCTAACCAGGTTGGAGAGAGGCTATTAGCTGTGAAAGCTGCTGTAGGAACATTTCCACTCAACATACCTTTGAAAATTATCAGTGACTCCAAATACACAATAGAGGGACTCACGAAGAACTTACAGAAATGGGAAGACCAGGACTTCAGGACAATCGAGAATGGTATTCTCATGAAAGTCACAGCATCGAGACTCAGACAACATAAGGCAAGAACCACCTTCCAATGGGTCAAGGGACACTCCAGAGATGTTGGGAATGATGGCGCCAATGCAATGGCAGCAGAAGGGTGCATGAAAGAGAAACATGATCTCGTAGATATGTGAATAAAAGGCTCTTTGGCAATGACAGGTGCCAAATTGAGCAAGATGACACAGTCATTGGCATACAAAATAATAAGACAAACTAAGACAGAAACATTCAAGTACCAGGATAAGCCCGATAGACAGGCAACAACCCAGAATATGGACATAGCCTGGAACACAGCTGAGACCTTAGATGGACAAGAGCTCCCATCAGAAAGGCAAATATGGAATGGAACCAAGAATAAAGACATTACCAGAAGTATCCGCTTCTTCCTCTGGATGTCAATCCATGATGGATATAAAGTCAGTCACTACTGGACCAACATATCAGGCTTCGAGCGGCGAGGAATCTGTGGTGCATGTGGCAGAATAGAATCACTGAAGCACATCCTGACACAATGCACCGCACCTGGACAAAGCCTAATCTGGGATATGGTGGAGAACCTATGGGAAAGGAAAACTGGAAGAGGACTGGGACCCAGCTATGGTGAAATAATCGCGGGTGGTGCCATGAAAGAAATAAGGACACCGGTGATAGGGTCCCTACAAAAATAACCCTATAAATCGGATTAAAGGACTAATCCGACATCTTTCTAGTTACTATTGGTATCTTATTGTTCACTGCACTAGAGTTGAGCTCCACACTGCTAGTAAGACTTGTACCTACCTATGTACCACAGAAACACTAGAACTTGACTCATCACAGCAAGGGTACTAGCCACAGTAACATACGGACATATCAGGAGAATGAGGCAAACACATGCCTCGGTATAACATTGGTTTAACAAGGGTTTCACGGAACAAAGGAACTGTATGATATTCAATTCATAACGACTGGACTGGCTCTGTGATATTGAGGAATGACTTTCTGGGGAAGCTTACTGTTTCTGAGATAGTCAGCGGGATGAGCGATGATCACTAGTGGGGCATGGCTCCGAGACATCAGGACAGGTAGATCAAATGATCGACGGATAAGCAACGGCCGATTAAGGACCGAAAGGTTAACTCGATCAGTTTATGGTTATCAACAATGAGGTAAAAGAGTGCTGGTTTCTGGTTATGGGTCACAGTGGGTCCATGCAGCACTTCCTCAGAAAGAAGGAATCTTTTAGTTAAGAAACCAAGTCATCCGAGGTAGTGTTTCAATTGTGACTCAGTTGTGCAACAGGTGATCGACAGCCAACATGGGGGCTGAGGAATTGGTTATTGTCAAAAGTACTTGATGTGACTAGCTTAGGCTATACTTCGCAGAAAGATACCGTTTAAAGACTGGCTTCATACATGACAAGCTATAGTCTTATTGACAACTAGGGGACCATGGAAATAAGCTTTACCATGAAGTCTTCTGGTCAGTTGCCTTGGGCATCATTTTAATGGTTTTCACGGACACCGAGTAGACTCCACCTTCACGAGGGATGGCCTGATAGTCGAGATAGAGGGTGCGCTGGTTTGTGAGTTAGTTATTTATCATCATTTTTGGACAGTATTTAAATAGCCTGTCTGTATCAAGTAAAAGTAGAGAATCAGTGGCCCGCTATGCTTTAGTGCAGAATCCATCTTGTATGCTCTCTGTGTTGAAATCATAAGATTGACTGCACTTGTCTTGTCTTGTCTTGCTCTAGTTTCTAGTCTCTAGTCTTGAAGTCCTTGTTTCGGTAACAGGCAAAACCCTCTAGTATCTAGTCTCTAGTCTTGTCTTGAAAGTCCTGTTTCGGTAACAGGCAGAACAAACCATTAGCTTAAAACACCAATACAAACCCTTCCCGAAAAACATACTACCCTGCATCTCATGGGGGGGTCTACATACTGTGGAATAAGACCTTGTCGCAGAAACTCTGCACCAAGCTTCCAAGTCTTGTTTGAACTAGTTAACCAACTCGCACAAAGAGGGTATGTGTGTTGAGTGCTTGATTCATCACCACTCATTTGTGTCACTTCCATCCCATCCGCAAGGATCCCTCACACCAGTGGAACAAACAAAAACAGGCACAACCCACCTTTTCAGAATAGTGATATTGGAGTCAGTGCACCTGATATGGTGACTCCGTAACAAAAGAGTCATCCAAGAAAAGGACCCAGCTTCAAGACAGGAAATAAGAAATTGGTGGACAAGAACAATGAGCAACAGACTGTCCCTTGACTGCCTGTTGACAAACAAAAAGAAATATGGCCCAAAGGTGATCTCCAAATCGCTGGTACCTCAAACATGGCAAAAAGTCCTATATGAAGAAGACAAACTCCCCCTAGACTGGACAGAGGAGACTGAGTCGTTAGTGGGTATTGGGTAGAAGATGATGAAAGGGTAGGCCTGCACTATGCTGGAGTTTTCTACCCACAGCCCCACACAAGAGTACTATAGGTACAAGTGTGTTTATGCATTTTCTTGGGGTGTATTGTCAGCGAGGTTTTAATTCCTTGCTTCTATAAACAGGCGGCGAGCGACAACGTGGTTGTTCCGATGATCTGGCATGCGCAGTGATGGAGAATGAATTTATTCATTGCGCTCAAAGCTAACTAAATGTTCCACAAAAAAAAGATATACTTGATGCTATGGATGAGGATAAAACACAACTTTTAGTATATCTTTCCTCTATACAGTTGAGACAAAGTGCTCTCAGTCTCAACGGATTGGTACGACTCATGTGATATGTGATGATGGTGCAGTGGTAACATCTCCCGCTCAGTTATTTGGAAGGCTCAGGTTCAGTTCCTGATCGTCACCTAAACAAACTTGCCATACCTTCAACATACCTTGTTTTCAGATCTGTCACTCAGACCAATAAATCCGAGAACGTGATTCTCAATTACACCAGCAGCACCTAAGACTTTTATTTATTGCTTGCCTTCATTCAACAGGAGAACCTGAACCAATACTGCAAAGGTGTTGCCTGATGAAGTACCGGTAGGTCTGTACCAACAATTTGATGATTTGGCTGTTATGCAATCACAGAGATATCAAGATTGCGGCTTAGTGAGACAGAGTCCCACGTACGTTTGAATTTCTCAAGACTGAATACGATGAACTCATTCCATGTGTCACAATTCAATCCAACACTCTGATTATAGTATTCCAATATGTACATTATTGAATACCTCAGAATGTTCTAATTGACTTGAGTTCAGGACCTGTGGCGCAGCCGCCAGGCCTCTCTTGGAAGTTCTTCAATAGTATGATGTCTGCAAATTGCGTTAGTATGATACATTAGAACATGTTGAGATTTACCGAGATTCTTCGAGATTTCAAAGTCAATGGTGAAGGCTCCCTGGTTGGCTGAGTTGGCGGAATCTCAGGTGTTGGCGGCGTGCTACCCTTCCCTTTCTTGGCCTTTGACACCAGGTTAGCACATTATATGATGAAAAAATGGCTGACATACTACAGGGACTGTGCGAGATTTCAAAGTCAACGGCGAGGGTTCCCTGGTTGGCTGAGTTGGGGGAATCTCAGGTGTTGGCGGCGTGCTACCCTTCCCTTTCTTGACCTTTGACACCAGGTTAGCACATTAGATGATGAAAAAATGGCTGACATACTACAGGGACTGTTCGAGATTTCAAAGTCAATGGTGAGGGTTCCCTGGTTGGCTGAGTTGGAGGAATCTCAGGTGTTGGCGGTGTGCTACCCTTCCCTTTCTTGACCTTTGACACCAGGTTAGCACATTATATGATGAAAAAATGGCCGACATACTACAGGGACTGTTCGAGATTTCAAAGTCAACGGCGAGGGTTCCCTAGTTGGCTGAGTTGGGGGAATCTCGGGTGTTGGTGGTGTACTACCCTTCCCTTTCTTGACCTTTGACACCAGGTTAGCACATTAGATGATGAAAAAATGGCTGACATACTACAGGGACTGTTCGAGATTTCAAAGTCAACGGCGAGGGTTCCCTGGTTGGCTGAGTTGGGGGAATCTCAGGTGTTGGCGGTGTGCTACCCTTCCCTTTCTTGACCTTTGACACTAGGTTAGTACATTATATGATGAAAAAATGGCTGACATACTACAGGGACTGTTCGAGATTTCAAAGTCAATGGCGAGGGTTCCCTGGTTGGCTGAGTTGGAGGAATCTCAGGTGTTGGCGGTGTGCTACCCTTCCCTTTCTTGACCTTTGACACCAGGTTAGCATATTATATGATGAAAAAATGGCTGACATACTACAGGGACTGTGCGAGATTTTAAAGTCAACGGCGAGGGTTCCCTGGTTGGCTGAGTTGGGGGAATCTCAGGTGTTGGCGGTGTGCTACCCTTCCCTTTCTTGACCTTATATATAGCCAGTTAGCACAGTATATGATACTAAAGTGGTCAATACAGACCACAGGAACTGTTCGAGATCTTAAAGTCGATGGCGAACGTGCTGCCAGACCACTAAACAGTTATCATGAACATTAGAGTAACATTCTCAATCAAAAGGACTGGACAAACTTGGCAAATTCCGGGACTGGGATCGAGTTGGTGAGGCCCACGACTGAGGCAAGTACAAAGAAGCTGAAGGCGGCTGAGAAACGCATGTTAAGACTCGGCAAGTTGAAAAGGGATGGAAGACAATGAAGAGTTGTTCGAAGAGAGGATTTGAGAGGTGACCAGCACTACTGAAGAATAAAGGCCAAGAATCTCTCTCTTTTATAGATTGAGCACCCCAAATGATGAGATAATCAGAATAAATAATCGGCGACACCGGTGTACTATATCTGTAGTGCTGTTTCCTCCTCAATTCAATTGCGGGATGCCGATACCACACTTGCGGGATGATTATCTTCTTAAATACAGGAATGTAGGCTTACCCAACAGCGAATAATGCCCATAAAATTTCATTTTGTAGCCGGCGTGATATGATCGCATAATGTATAAAGATACATCTAGAGACATGAAGAAAAATCATAGTGCTCCGATGTCCATCGTGCTGACCCACTACCTGATTTGAAACGATACAACGGCCTATGATATGGTACCACAGTCCCTATTCAGACTCGGGGACAATAACCTCCATTTACTGGTATATGCAACTTCCGTTTCATGTTCTATTTGAAAGTTGAACGCCTATGTTCTAACCCAGCCTAGCCCAAGAGCGCCCAGTTGTCATCGGACACATTTTTAACGATAGTCTCCCACATTTGTTGTCACCTCCAACCCGCGATTCCTGGTCAAACATAAACCGATTTGAATTGGTCACGAATGGCAGGTTACTCTTCGGGGTTCAACTCATAGACCGCCGACAATTTTTCATTTCTGGCCAGTCATGACCGCCAGCTTGGGTTCAAGCTTCACGACCAGTGGATCACACGAAGAGCTGAAGAAGATAAGGGATGAGGAATCACGTCTATATGGAAAGCATCGAATTTACCTATCTCGAGATATCGGAGATGGTTGAACAGCACGCTGCTGTGGAAGGAAAAATCACCACGAACAGGGAATCTCAATGAGGTCTTTGCTTCCGATCCGGAATCAACAGGCATCGAACGGATAGATGGCGGACGAGGATGTATAGCACTAGCGAAATAATTGAACATTTGCATAGTCAATGGCCACCGAACTGTTGGGACAAGGTAGATGCAGTAATTAGTCGAGTCCAGCTGTAAAGGAGCGCTGAATAGCATGCCTGCAAGCCTTCAGTGCAAGGCTCATTCGTCAGGAAGGTCCAGGTTCGGAAGAACAAATGTCTGTTTCTGCTTAGTACAGAAAAGTCGCATTCGGCGGACAATTGTGTCCCCAGCGCTCGGTGGTCGATGCTTCTTTGATGGAACATAGCCTGGCTCAAAAAGCCGCTCGGCCTGACTTCGCCGAACATATATATGTCTACACGTATCAGCGCCCGATTTCCCTTCTTGAACTTCACCCGCGGCTATCGATTTCGTCGCGCAAACAGTCTACTTATCCCCTACGGTATCGTGGCGCCAAAGGCTCAGCGCTCAGACTAGACATGTTGAGTGATATTCCCTGAATATTGTGGGATTTGAATGATGCTCTTCTGAGTGACTTCGATTAAGTATCCCTTGTTGGGGCGCGGCCGTCGCGGATTCCGCCTTTGAGGTTTGAATGAGTCGTGGCCCAGTCGCTTGTGCTTTTCGTGTCCGAAAAATACCCGAGATAGCCCAAACCATCTATTCAGATGTGTAGGCCTAGACAGTGACATACGGGTCGTTGATACACTCCTGAGGCTCGAGTCGAGTGCTGCCGGCCTGCTTTCCCAATGCGTCAAGAGTCGGTGATCACGTCGGGCTGATAATACCTCGATTTGGTTCTGAAGCGGAATTAGCTAGCCATATGTCTGATCTATGTCGGCCACATTTCACACATTCTCGAAAGAGGCGGCCAATAATTGATCGGAATCAAGTCTTGGCCGATGACACGGCAGGACCAGCAAGGCATAAAAATCCCTCATTCCGCGCCATCTGGTTCATAGAATGAGCCAGTGGCCAACAGAATGTGCCATTTTAAATGCCGAGAACAATAAGTATTGAAAAAAGATCTTATACTTTTCAGATCAATCAATTGGCTCGTTTCGGACGTCGGGCGCTGATGCGCTGATGTCCCGTAAGCTCGTGTGACCCAAAAAGGCCGAGCCGAAGACAGCCTCCGTATATGGTAAAAGCGGGCACAAGTCTTTAGCGTGCCATCCGAGACTCCCGTGGCTCGGGGGATCCCCGAGCTTGGCGAGAGCGAGTGATCGGTACTCTTCCCGCACCTTCGGAAAGACCAGAGTTGAAAAGAAAAGAAAATATTATAATATATTACAATGTCTACATGAAAAAGAATACAAGACCGTACACTGTATAGCACGACTTGAGCGCCGTGTCGGTACTTCAGGCCGATATCAGATGACACATCCCGTTGAGAGGCGCGAAGATGTTCGAATCAGGATGTGTCGCTGATTGGTATATTCTCCCATTTTCCTGGATCATCTCACCCTCCTGCGGCTTGCTACCTTGTTGTTGACGTCTGCTGGTTCAACAATCTTGTGCCCAATTACCAGCATTAGTACGTCGTTCATTTCACGTTCAGCTTGCACTCTGACCCGCCTCACCTGGATTGGAATCCGAATCGGAAATCCCCTAGTACTTGACCACGCTCCTCCGAGTTCCTCAGTCGCTGGAGGCTTCTGAGGTAGACGAAACAATGGAAGAGCCTCCCATTCCGGATTCATTCTTCGGACAGCTCATCTCACCTCGGCATCACTGGCAGTTTCTCCCGAAGCTCGAAACCTTGGACGTTGAGGCTCCGACTCTTGATCTGAAGAGATCCATGAAAGCCGTCCGGTCGATATGAGTGTCGGAAAACAACATCTGCGACAGACTTCTTCTTAGGGAAACCATCATCAATGCTACGACACTGGAGGCTCTAGAACCATTAGATTATTTGCAATTGGTTGGGATGAAGATCGCTATAAGGGATTCAGAGGGTGGTGTATACTGCTAGTGCCATCTTTGCCCTTTGATGCTGTCCCCTTTTGATTTCTTGTTCTGCGGACATTCTCGAGCAAAATTCCACCGGTACAAGAAGGATTGGGCTCCCTCAAAAGCATCATGAAAGCGTCGCATGAACAAAAGCTGAATTAGGTTGCACGGAATTCTAGCCCAGTGCTTTATCCCAGGTACAGTCTTGAACTGATTTCAAGCAGAGGTCGCGAAACAGGAATTATTCAAGAACATGAACATTGTGTTTCTAGTCGTGTAAATGATTCATATACAGTGCGTTTGGGTATAATACATGTCGAGGAAGCGAGGAACCTAATAGGT